ATTATTTTTTTCAACGTTAACAGCGAGGGAGTTTATAAGAACGAGGGAAAGTAAGCATTCGTATGTATTTTTCACTTCATTTTCTTGCTTGATGTCTTCTTTAATTTGCTATCCACCGTACTCCTCGTGATACTGAAAACATGGCCTGATTATCTCTAACATTTTCGAAAAGCAAGAAAAAGAAATCGACTAGTTCTTAACTCTGTTCCTGTGACTCTCAGGCCAAGAATTCTAACCCACCTCACTGATTGCCTTATCTTTCTTAATTTAAGATCTGAGAGTTTGAAATTTTTGAGACAGGTCACGAGAAATTTGTACTGGAAGCCTAATACCTTGACATTCTTGATCTGGGAGGCTGGGGTATAGCTGTTCTACACGAGAGGTCAGCGAGCCCGCCCTCTACTTCCTCATTTTTCCTATCCCCAGAGAAATTGGAATTTCAATGATCTGTTTGTTTCCTTGTAAAAACGTAGTAGCATCATACGTCTCCGAATTACAAAATTTTTAGCACATTGATATAAAAAAAGCCACGCAGTCGTCATAACTCTTATTTCAAACGTACGGTAGGATTCAGCGGGGTAGCGACGCTTAGTCAATTCACTGCTTTCATTGGCCAGACATTCGTAATAATGTTTTGTTTGGTAGCTCAGCAAATGAGTACATAACAGGTCGATTTTGATGTGCGTTTAGGTTAATTATTTTTTCCACGTAGGACACACCAAGGCTATATTGAAACGTCGTGGGCTGAAAACGCTCCAGAAAATAATAAAAAAAGGAAACGTTGGTGTGGGAGGGAGAGGAAGGCAGGGTGTTTATTTGAGGGGGGTATTCTTTTGTAATTATTATTATCATATTTGCTGAATTACACTACTTTGAATACGTTGAGAGGTAGTGTGGCGATTATTACTTATATTGCCTAAGAGGACAGAGGTTTGTTTCTAAGGGGTTTATTCGATCGAAGAAAGTGCCTGTTAGACGATTTACCGAGACAGAAGTTTTAGTTTAATAGAATAAAGCAATTACATTAATGTGAAAAACTCAAATAATATAAAGTGTATCACTTTTCCTACGTTTGAGAGGAGAATAACGACAAAAATGACTCAAGGGAGCTGGTGTTATTGTCAGACGGTCATAACATTCCCGTTTTATTTTCATTATTTCTCATGTATTTTCCAATATTCCACACAAATCAGTTACGCCTGAGCTAAACCAAAGCTTAAATTACTTAACTTAACCTGCGCTCTCAAAGTGAAAGTTCCTGAAACATTAAATTCCATTGAAGAGACTAAAATCGCCCTCTACGATCACAGTGCTCTCTCTACATTAATAATGAAGATAAATGATCTTTGCTGTTAGGAAAAAGTGAATGTCCCGGGTGAAAAAGCTTTGTTTTGTGGATGCTTTTAGAAAAAGACATTCAAAGCAATGATCGCAAAACTGATGAAAAACAAAGAAGATCGCGTTTGATCGACACCACCCGAATCCTTGCGCTCAGGAAAAACGTTCTCTCTGTAATCGTTGTTGAAATTCCCAGCAGGAGAATAGCGAACCACCACGACCACAAAGCCATCTGTCCCGGTAGCGTAAGCTGCTCCGATCACTTTGGTATTTTTCCACACGAGCTGAGGAAAAACAGCAGACATGTCCAAATTAATTGATACCACAGGACACTCACTCAAACAGGCTTAAAGCTGGACTACTGGACCACTTCAGTTTAGGATTGTGGCCATCGCATAAGTGAAACTAATTTTACATTATGGCATCAATTAACAAACGAGATCATGGCATTTTTTCTCAAGATCGTCTGAGCCATTATTGGCGTCGGGTTGGGTGTACTGTGATTTTCAGATAGGTTGGATAAAGTGTTTTTTTCATCCATGTTGAAGTTAAGCTTTGCATAATAACGGTTGGCACAGGATTCCTAATAAAAAATTTACCTGAGTGAAGTGTCCTGTGTTCTTTGAAAATCCTGGTTTGTTGAAATCATAATTTGTAACCTCTCCATAAAACAGTTTTGTAGCCTCGGTACAAGGCTCTTTAGGTGGTGGTTTGCCCGACAGATAGAGATTCTCTCCTGGCTGCAAGTTTGGCGCGTGTTCAAATGTCTTGTTTTCTGCCAAATAATCGGCCCAACTTTTTGCTCCGTTGGCCAGCTCCTCACTCCACGTCACAGGACCGACCTTTATTTTATTAAAATATACTTGCGTCATTGATATTTGTAAAGAACGAAACTTATAAAACGTGTTGCAACATAACTCAAGAGAACGTTACAAAAACAACGTAAAAAACAAAAACGTAAAAACAAAAACGTAAAAACAAAAACAACACAACGTAAAGCACGCTATCGTAACGTAACGAACAATATCGTAACTTAATGTACAGTGTTGTAGCGTAATGTATCATAACGTAGCGTATCGTATCGTATCGTAAACTAACGTAACGCAACGTAACATAGCGTAACGCGATATAACAAATAGCAATAAAAATTAAGAGATATTTTTGTCGCAGTAGGTGAGTGAAAGGAAGCATGCAATATGAAGCTTACGGCAGTTCGTTAATAAACGTTTATCCCACTGGTGTGAAGAATGTCCATGTCTGCATGCAGGGTAAATACTGAGATATATTTACCTGATGTTTCTTACGGAATTCATTGTGCCACTTCAAACATTGTTCTTTGAACGGCAGGGCAGCTGCTTCTGCAAATAATTCAAAGAAACCCAAAATCGTAAAATAATCCTCGCCACAACCTACCTCAAATAGCAAATCGACTTCAACTTATCAATCCGCTCGGAATACTTACAAATAAGGAGCTTAGGTTACAAATATGTTCCGCATTGTTTTCGACACTGCTTTTAACTGTAACTATCGATGAGTGCAAAATACAATGAGCGCAAATATTAATAACGTCACGAACTGGCTAAAAGGTTTCAAAGAGACATCGACAATGACGTAAGTTTTTTCTTTATCTTAAACCCTTGATATCGACAGTAGCTTCTTGAACCAAAAGACGTTTAAAAACTTGACTAATTCTCAACGGTTAACAAGTATGACATCATCGGGATCAAAATTCACAAAAAGTTAAAATCGAGTCTGCATCTCGTCTCATACCCTCAGATATTGTTCTTGCTCTGTAAAACATTAAGAGAATAAAATTATTTAATTTTGTCACCTCCGAGTCCAGGAAACACGTCTAAATGGCTAATTTTACTGGGTGAACCCACGGGAAGAAAAATTATTTCGCAAGGACAAAAATAAGACCGCCGTCTCGGTTAAAAATGGAAAATATATTTTATTGTTTGCATGCCACGCGGTATCCTGATTCGCTCTACTAAAATATTCATTTTAGGCCCTCCTTGAGAAAAGCTCACATTTGACTTGCAGGATTCAGATTATTAATTATTTACTTTGGTGATAGGAGGTAAGGCCACTCACTTCGAAGCTCAGGCTTGCTTATTTCATGCAACTTTGAGGAACAAGTTTTTTTAAATCTTATTGAGCTGTTTCGGATTTCTTCTGGTACGTTCTAGCTAAAAAAGCTCACTCTGTTATGTAGAACTGAAAGAATCCGTTTTCTGAAAGTTGAAAATGAAGTAGACTCAACTGCATCCTGAAAGAGCTTACCTAAACAGATTTTGTCCTAATTTTTTGATGATGTGTTTTAAAGCAGAGACTAATCTTAACTCGTTTTATGGTAAAGAGAGATGACTATTCAGCCAACCGCCACCGTAAAGAAAAACAAGCTTTCTTGCTTCCTTCATTTAGCACTAGATACCCTTCAACTCACCTTCAGCACTGAGCGCTTTGCCCAAAATAACAGACATGATGGAAAAGAGAGCCCATGAAAACTGCATCTTCCAACTTTGGTGGCTTACAGAGGTCTAAATGAAACCGTCTTTGAAATAGAAAACAACTTTCGGCCACTTATCATATCCTGTTTGCGACAAATAGTGAAGTATTTTATTAGGGTCACGTTAATCGCCTTTGACGTAGTAGCTACAATACCATTGGCTGGTCTGAATTTTTATCTCCCTGTGAGAATGAATACAAGTTTTTTCCTTTTTTTTTCTGAAAAGTCTGTGCTAATGCAATGCCCTTATTCATGGAAATGATAACAGAAACCGACTTTGCTTACTTATTGGTTCAAATAGTTGAAACACCTTTAAAATTCAATGACATAACAAAGCTGTGTATCGACGAGCCCTAACAACGAAAGCTTTTATTAATAATAAGATTATTTCTCGAGAATCTATAAAATATTCAACTTAGACCTGGGTGACAATATGGTTAGCAGATGAGAAAATGTAATTAGAAAAACAGAAATTACACCTATAACTTTCTGGTTAAAAGATCATTGCTTTTCATTGGCTTTCATATATGTATGACGTACTTTTTGTCAGCAATAGAGATGAGGATGTCTTAATTTTCACAGATTAGCTGTTTTTTATCGTAGGGTAAAACGTAGACCCTGCGATCTTGGCCAAAACGTGAAACAAAAAACAAAAGACAGCACAATACAGACTGAAGAGTTTCAAGCTGTGAAAACCCGTTTTAGTACTTTTTCCAACAGTCCCAACGTAAACTATTAACCAAATCCTTTTGGTTTCTCATGTAAAGGTGTATCAAACCAAATCACCAACGTAAACGTTGTTCAGCGATAAAATATACCTTTGTATTCTGACCCGGTAGTTGTCTGGTTCAATTCTTGCACAAGCGACGATCAGTGACACAACACAAAGTAAACTCATCCAGTTTGTGTCCCAGAAAATAAAAGAAGGGAAGAGAGCAAAACGCTTGTATCAAATTTTCGCGGGCTTTTTTTGGGTAGGAGCTTGTTCGTGGATCTACGGATGTTTTGCTTTATAAAAGCCACGCATACAATAAAATTTAGTCTGTCCACAGATACTCTACTTTGNATGAGCGCAAAATACAATGAGCGCAAATATTAAGAACGTCACGAACTGGCTAAAAGGTTTCAAAGAGATATCGACAATGACGTATGTTTTTTCTTTATCTTAAACCCTTGATATCGACAGTAGCTTATTGAACCAAAAGACTTTTAAAGACCTGACTAATTCTCAACGGTTAACAAGTATGACATCATCGGGATCAAAATTCACAAAAAGTTAAAATCGAGTCTGCATCTCGTCTCATACCCTCAGATATTGTTCTTGCTCTGTAAAACATTAAGAGAATAAAATTATTTAATTTTGTCACCTCCGAGTCCAGGAAACACGTCTAAATGGCTAATTTTACTGGGTGAACCCACGGGAAGAAAAATTATTTCGCAAGGACAAAAATAAGACCGCCGTCTCGGTTAAAAATGGAAAATATATTTTATTGTTTGCATGCCACGCGGTATCCTGATTCGCTCTACTAAAATATTCATTTTAGGCCCTCCTTGAGAAAAGCTCACATTTGACTTGCAGGATTCAGATTATTAATTATTTACTTTGGTGATAGGAGGTAAGGCCACTCACTTCGAAGCTCAGGCTTGCTTATTTCATGCAACTTTGAGGAACAAGTTTTTTTAAATCTTATTGAGCTGTTTCGGATTTCTTCTGGTACGTTCTAGCTAAAAAAGCTCACTCTGTTATGTAGAACTGAAAGAATCCGTTTTCTGAAAGTTGAAAATGAAGTAGACTCAACTGCATCCTGAAAGAGCTTACCTAAACAGATTTTGTCCTAATTTTTTGATGATGTGTTTTAAAGCAGAGACTAATCTTAACTCGTTTTATGGTAAAGAGAGATGACTATTCAGCCAACCGCCACCGTAAAGAAAAACAAGCTTTCTTGCTTCCTTCATTTAGCACTAGATACCCTTCAACTCACCTTCAGCACTGAGCGCTTTGCCCAAAATAACAGACATGATGGAAAAGAGAGCCCATGAAAACTGCATCTTCCAACTTTGGTGGCTTACAGAGGTCTAAATGAAACCGTCTTTGAAATAGAAAACAACTTTCGGCCACTTATCATATCCTGTTTGCGACAAATAGTGAAGTATTTTATTAGGGTCACGTTAATCGCCTTTGACGTAGTAGCTACAATACCATTGGCTGGTCTGAATTTTTATCTCCCTGTGAGAATGAATACAAGTTTTTTCCTTTTTTTTTCTGAAAAGTCTGTGCTAATGCAATGCCCTTATTCATGGAAATGATAACAGAAACCGACTTTGCTTACTTATTGGTTCAAATAGTTGAAACACCTTTAAAATTCAATGACATAACAAAGCTGTGTATCGACGAGCCCTAACAACGAAAGCTTTTATTAATAATAAGATTATTTCTCGAGAATCTATAAAATATTCAACTTAGACCTGGGTGACAATATGGTTAGCAGATGAGAAAATGTAATTAGAAAAACAGAAATTACACCTATAACTTTCTGGTTAAAAGATCATTGCTTTTCATTGGCTTTCATATATGTATGACGTACTTTTTGTCAGCAATAGAGATGAGGATGTCTTAATTTTCACAGATTAGCTGTTTTTTATCGTAGGGTAAAACGTAGACCCTGCGATCTTGGCCAAAACGTGAAACAAAAAACAAAAGACAGCACAATACAGACTGAAGAGTTTCAAGCTGTGAAAACCCGTTTTAGTACTTTTTCCAACAGTCCCAACGTAAACTATTAACCAAATCCTTTTGGTTTCTCATGTAAAGGTGTATCAAACCAAATCACCAACGTAAACGTTGTTCAGCGATAAAATATACCTTTGTATTCTGACCCGGTAGTTGTCTGGTTCAATTCTTGCACAAGCGACGATCAGTGACACAACACAAAGTAAACTCATCCAGTTTGTGTCCCAGAAAATAAAAGAAGGGAAGAGAGCAAAACGCTTGTATCAAATTTTCGCGGGCTTTTTTTGGGTAGGAGCTTGTTCGTGGATCTACGGATGTTTTGCTTTATAAAAGCCACGCATACAATAAAATTTAGTCTGTCCACAGATACTCTACTTTGAGTTCGTCGAGATCTCAAGCTTAGCGAAATATTAACCTGGCGGGTGGAATACACGCGCTGAAACGCATGCGGGTGATCTGGGCAGACTAAATAAAACTAGAACAATCGGATTATTTATTAGCACATCAAAATGACTTAACATTTCCAACATAAGAGATCAAACGGAACAAGCTCAACTCCACAACCATTCTTTGCAAATGAGCATTTGAAAAAAGCAGTTATTAGGAGATATCAAAATTTTGTACTTCTTCGATCTATCCTATGTTCTTAAGAGAGTACTTTTCAAAAGAAAAGATCCTTTTTTTCAGTCATCCGATTTACTCTATGTCTATTTTATGCCATGTTTTCAGTGCATTAGACTTCAGTGACTAGCTAGTTATGACAGTGGAATCTCAACTAAGGGTTCGTGAGGCGACACGCACATGTTTATATAGTCTACAAAAATTGCCTATTCTATTATTAAAAACCTATATAGTCAAGTGATAACAGACATGGACTATTAAATTAATTAGTAAATGTCAATTTCGTATTAATTAACATGACATATATTGTGAAGCTAAAAATCATATAGTTACAAAAAGTGAAAAACCCTGGCTAAAACCTTGTTTGTTTTACAGCGTTGTTTTGCGAATCCTTTTCAGAAAAAGGTCTTAAAAGCAGCTCCAGTAACAACAACAAATCCGACGAAAACAAACGAAAAACGAGTTTGACCGGCCCCACTGAGCTCTGGCAAGACATTTTCCTTGTATTGTCCGACGTAATTTCCTGCAGGGGAATATCGAACAACCACCACCAGACGGCTATCCCTCCTGGCAGCCTGTGCTGCTCCGATCTGTTTGGTCTTTTTCCACACGAGCTGATGAAAAAAGTAAATAGCAAAAAACGGATAAATTTAATTAATACCTCAGTAATCGGTTTTCCCTTNCCTTTTAGGGGTGAAAACGCGGTTTTGGGAGGGAGTTCCGCGGCCTCGAAAGGTCCACAGCAGGAGCATTTGCGGTACCTTTTAGGGTATTGAAACGAAAAAAATTGACAGGAGATGATCTGCTATTTTAGAATTGGTACCTCTTAGGTGTGAAAAACATTTCAAGCCGCGCCCACAAAACAGGATCTTGGTACCTCTTAGGGTTTCTTTACAAAATTTCCGACGAGCAACCCCGTCCTTTTTACATGGGAGTCCCCCAACCCCGGACGAAGACAATCTAGGGAACCAATCAAAACTCTAGGTAACTACTTTAGTTTCGAGGATTGTTTATTTGATTAGATTGTTCAAACTTCTTTGTGGTTGGTCAGAGTGATTTGCTTCGGCGGAAATGCAGAAAAAACAAAAACAAAAACAAAAACAAAACAAACAACGACAAAAAAAACTGTCTCTACGGTTTCTCTGGTCATTGTTGGGATCATTGTTGTGTTCAGACATGACAGTGAACTCGGTAAAGCCACTCTTAATCTGCGGCTGGAAACCTACATGTATAATNCTACGGTTTCTCTGGTCATTGTTGGGATCATTGTTGTGTTCAGACATGACAGTGAACTCGGTAAAGCCACTCTTAATCTGCGGCTGGAAACCTACATGTATAATTGAACAACGAATAGAGTCCTAGGGCTGAAGACAAGTTAGTCCTATTTGAGACAGGCGAATGAAGAAGTACCCCGATAGAGCATTCAATCTCCCACGGAGATGGTGGTTACGACATACATCTGTAGCAAAGGTTAAGTCTGCACGCATACGAGCCAAGTGGCCCATTAGGCCGGAGCTTATCTCGGTCTCTGTAGCATGAAGCGACTAGGAGTATTTGTACTTCCCCCTGGATGGGATGCTAGTCCATTGCAGTGTTGCCCCCAGCATTAAATTCGCCGGTACCCATTTATACACCTGGTGGAGAGAGGCACTGTGAGAGTAAAGTAGATTACTCACGAACAGTACATTACACGAGGATTCGCAAAAATAAATTTACCTGAGTGAAGTGCCCGGTTTCCATTGAAAATCCAGGTTTGTTGAAATCATACTTTTTAATCTCCTCGTAGAAAAGTGTTGTGGCCTCGGTGCAAGTCTCTTCGGGAAGCGGTTTGCCTGATAAATAAAGATTCTCTCCAGGCGCTATACCTTCCGCATGTTTAAATGTGTTGTTTCGTGCTAAAATATCAGCCCAACTTTGTGCTCCTCTGGTGAGCTCGTCGCTCCAAGTCACGGGATCCACCTACATTTTGGTATAAATGATAAATAAAATCGGAAACTGATCCTTACGGTAGGGAGAGGAGATGAAGGTAGAAGTAGAGCAAAACAATAGCAGTGAAGATTTTTTTTTTTCAGGCTTAGTTTCACAACTGCTTAAGTTGCAACTGCGATGATCAATCATGTCTTGAAATGAAAATCAGTACTGCAAGATAAATTTTTCCTGGATAGTTCGGTTTGGAAAACAAACCTTTTTGAGGGGCCGGAAGAGAAAAAAAAATGGATTTAATAGGTTCAGACAGAACGTGAAATATAATTAAAATGGCACATCATGTTATTCTATCGTAGCGTGTGTCGCGTTGTGTTGTGTCACGCCGTGTGATTTCGTGTCTTGTCACGTCACGTGAGGCCATAACCGAGCAAGTAATTTCATATCATGCCATGTCATGATTTGTACGTATCATTTTATGTCATGCCATGTCAGGTCAGATGAAGTCAAACCAGCTCAGTTTAATGTCACTTCAGGTTAGGTCATGCCATTTCAATAATTTCAAGCCAGATCTTGTCTGATCAAGTCATCTTGTGTCATATTCATGTCTCGCCATGTCTCACCATGTCATGCTGTGTTGCCCTGTGTTGTCATGTATTGTCGGATCACGTTATATTGCACCATATAGTAAAAAAAAAATTCACTTGATTGATTGAAACAAAATGTGCCATGTGATTGGCCATAGTTTAAAAATGGGGAAGTTTACACCACAATCGTAAAGTTCGTAAATCTGCATCGTCGGTAAACACTCAGACTTGTTTAGGCCAATATCTGCATGCTCGGTTTCTCAGATTTGTTTACGTCAGTATCTACATGCTTGGTAAACACTCAGATTTGTTTACTTCAATATCCACATGCTCGGTAAACACTCAGATTTGTTTACCTGGTGTCTCTTACGGAATTCATTATGCCACTTCAGACATTGTTCTTTAAACGGTGGGATAGCTGCTTCTGTGGTTGATAGAAAGAAAAAAGAATCATTACATCAATCGCATTGCCTTTCTACCTTAAACGTAACAGCACACTAGCTGAATCATTTGAGTAAAAACAAAGGAAAAAATAAGTCAGGGCAGACATGCCCAATTATATTTGCAGTTATTGTAAACTGGTTAAACCAGTTTACCCAGCTACCAGTATCAACAAAAGATAAAGTCAGTAACACTTTTTACTTTAGTTGAAAGTTAATTTTGATGATGTTATTAGCCTGTGAACACTTTACAAAGGGTTGTGTGACATCTTTTCTCTAGTTTATTATTTGTATTTTTTTACATCAGTTAAGTTTAACCGTTTCTTTGTATGAACAAAATTGTCGTTGGTTTGCGGCCGGTTTTCGACGACATGGCGGCTAAAAGTAACCCTGTCCACGAAGTTTTAAAATATGGCTAGTCATCCTTAATAATACTGCTGCCCGCCAAAACGTTGATAGCGAAACATTGGATTCCATTCTGCCTGGGAACAGCAAAAGAATTACAAGAACTTTTTGGGATGAAAGCAAACACCAATTCATAGAAATAGCTCAATCAATGCAAAATAGTTTTCAAAGTCTTTTTTTTTTAATCGACGGCTGTTAAAGACGAAATAGAAACAAGTTAGAATATGACATTGACTTCATTTAAGCGTCAGCGTACTTAATTCTACTGCGATAATTGCCACGAGCATAAATGATGGGAAGTTAAGTGGTTACAAAAAAGGAAGCGACCTTGGAGTAGAACTCGGACAGAACTACCGAGAGCAAACCCAGACAGTGTGAGGATATGGAACAGGACCTTCACATCTGAAAATCCAGTTCTCTAAATCACTCGGCCACGCGACCTCCTATTGCTGCCTCTTTCTATGTCTCCGGTGTATCTTAGATGTAGTTCTCTGTTGATGTGCTCTAGTAAGAAATGAACTGATGTTTTGTTATTAGGGAAATCTACCACAAGCTCAGTTTACTCTGATGAAAATTTTCATAAGATTCATGTTAGGGAAATGCCTCATTCAGCCTTTTTACCAGTTTTCTCAGTACTAGGAAGTACTGGAAATGCTAAAGTACACTGATCGTGCCACTCCATGCAAATGCAATAACAGGGCTCGACATACTAGCTTTCAGAATGTGACCTCTTTCTCATTTCTTTCAGTGTGTTTGGGGGAGCTAGTATTTTCTCAAAGCCACGGGGGCCAAAATAAAAAGCAGACCGAAATTCACCTACTCATCATGGAAACATCGATTTCCAAACCCTATTCTTTTAGTTGCATTCTAATCTTTAAATGTAGTCTTGAGTCTTGCGTCTAATTAAATAGCACTGGAGTCAACTGGCAGCTAAATAACATTTCGTTTGTACATAAAACTCATTTCCTTAAAAAAAAAAAAAAAAAAGCCAAATGGGATGTTTTCAGATCCTTGTGGGAGAAACATTTTAACCATAAAACCACGAGGTGTTTTGTAGTACTCTTAAATTAACGACCACATTACGATCCGCAAAGTTACAAATTCAGCCATAAGTCAACAAACAAAATTCGAAAAAGAAAATTCCGAGAACTATCGCTAGTCTCTGCGAACTTTTTGATTCATTTCGATAATACGTTACGTCTGCGCCCAATTGTTGTCAGAGTCTTAAAATATTTTGCAGTTTTCTTCCTCTCACATTTTTAAGTTCTGCTTTGGTTGCTTAAAGGCTATTTTACGACGTTAACTAATATTTTGACGGCCAGTTACCTTCGTCGACTGTTAGTCAAAACTTGTGGAAACAGCTCCAAAATATCAAGAACTTTACATTCTTTCATTTTGCATTGAGTACAGTGTTGACAAAAAAAAATTATTTGATTGACTTTGGAGACCTCACTTGCTTTGTAAACATGACTTGTTCCAGGCTAGAGATTATTAAAAATAATCTAATTATTCAAAAATGTACAGCAACAGCAAAAATTGCCCAAAGGAGAAGGCTTAATCTCAAAATTGAGAAACGTATAGTGAACAAAACAGTTTTCCAGTTGCTCTAAATTTCAGAGCCTGTATTGTTTCTCCTTTAGTTGAACCTGTTTTAACCTTATGCTCTTTAAATCTAAGTCTTGCTTTGTCAGTAAAGATGAAACTACACCTTCTACGAAGCCAGAATCACCTTACGAGCAACGAAACTTAGTTTTCAAATTTGAATACAAACGTTTCTTAATAACTTGCTCGAATCTTACCTCCGAAGAATGTCCTGCAACCCAAGATAGCTGATACAAGGAAAATTAAAGCAAAACGCACCGGCATTTTTGAAACTGGGCAAAAATCACTCTCTAGGATACGAGTTCTGTCAAATCACCTACTGATATCATGTCCACAACAAGCACTTCCTTTATAGCAAAGCAGGGATAATAAAATATTTATGTTACCTGTTGTACAAGTCCAGTCAAAGCGGAGCAGAATATAATTAGAACTATGGTAGACATAATAAAGCTTTTCTTCACCTAATATGTGTGCGTAATTGCAGGTCTTCTGCTACTACTGATTTGAGCGACTCGGGTTTGAATTTTCAACAATATAAATGCAACAATATAAAGGCATTGCTTTGGAGGAAAATATTGTTTATCTTCGAAGTTGGGTGCTTACCGCTAAGAAACAAAATAGAAACAAACCGCAATTTGTTTCAGCAAGCAAAACAAAACAAATGCAAAAAAGTTTGATTTCTGTAGGACCAAAGGAAACCAGACGAGCTCAATGTGTACACCAAAAAACATGATTTGAAATGCTCAAAAATCGTTTTTATTTCTTATTTAATAGCTCGGTTACTTTCTTACTAGTAGCGAGGCCTCAAGCTGACATAAAACAAAGACTTGAGAGTGTTCGTGAACATTTTGAGCGCGGTGAAATCCACCTATGTTTGTGCATTGCTGGTTGCTGACCCAGCTTGGTCGGGATGACCAAAAAATCACCACTACACCTTGTAACACAACTTTGTGGGAAGAGGCGCTGTGAGAGCAAAGTGCATGTTTTTCCCGCGAACAGCACCAACACTATGGCCACTGTCAGTCTCCCGCTTGCAATTTGAAATGTCGGTTAACAAATTCCACGTCATTTAATCACAATAATCACATTTGACGAATGTATTAATTAAAAGTTACTGTTTAGTCCACTTTCTGGAAGCTTGAATCAGTACTTCTATGTCAGAGCTGGAAATTAAAATTTTGGCTAAGCTCATGAGACATACGCAATCAAAACGCGCCTATGTTTGTTTGCCTGCTTGTGCATTTTAGGAGTCTTTTAAAGGACGAACGTAAAGCGGTTTTTGGACGTTAGTAAAAAGAAATGCTCTCATTGTTTATACAATGTAATGTTTTCTTTATATAATTCGATGTGTTCCGACATCACTCATTGCATGTTTACAGAAGCGCTCTTCTTTTGTCGGCCTCAAACAAAGGAAGTTGGTCAATATTTTTTCAAATACGGACTTAACGCTCGGTCAATAACTCCGCCTATCATTCCCAGGCAGATTTAATTGACAATTAACTCTTAAGTATTTGATAGACCGACTAAGTAAACTTAGATGCCGGTAAATGATCTGGGGATTATTGAACTGAACTACTAAATTGTGTTGCATGGGTTTGCTTGTTTACCGTATTTGCATGATAGTTGTTCCCTTGGGTAGAAAAAGCATCTTTGTTAAACCCTTAAATAAGTGCTCCATTTAAGCCGCATTAACTGAGGCTTTTAAGTTCAGTTCTAAAGTTACTTGATCTAAAACACCGACACGAAAGCAGCAAAACGAGCTAACTGGCGTTATGAACTTAAGGAAATCCTTTTCATAATATTTGCTGTTGACCAAACGAACAACTTTAGTTATGAGAAATTAACTCCAGTTTATTATAATGGAGTCTCGCCTTTGTGAGAAGACTAAATATGAAATGCAAATGTTTGGACTATTAGAAAACAATTACACTGCTGTAAGAAATTCAGCAACAAACAACCTCTTCCTAAAATTTCAGATTTTTTCATCTTTTCTTTTTCTAGTTAACTTCTATTTATATAGTGGAGTCTCGTCTATGTGTGAAGAACAATTATGAAATGCAAACATTTGGACCACTCAAAAACGATTACACTGCTGAGGGAATTTCAGCAACAACAATCTTTTCCTAAAATTTCTGATTTTTTATCTTTTCTTTTGCTGCACGACTGAAAATCATTATCATTCTCTTGTGTATTTGAAATTTACAAAAACATGATATTGATATTGTAACAACATTACGAGAATAGGTTTTAGGGAAGGAAAAATTGTAAGGTCTCGTGAATGTGCTTTGATTTGTTGACTTCATAGATGATGACTTGAACAAAAAACCGACGCAGTGTTTTGTTTTACTGCAAGTCAGAATATTTGTGCATCTCAAAGTTTTGAAAACTTTGCTACGGGGCAAATCTTCTTCTACACAGCACTACATGATAACTGTCATTTAACAGCAAATTAAAGAAGTTGCTCATTACGTTTTTGTTAACATACTTGTCAGAGAAAAGTAACGTCGCTATAGAGAGGAAGACCAATGTATCCAAAGTACAAAAGTTTTGACCATTTCGCGATGGATGCAATCAGGAACTATCTACAGAGTTCAGGCCGAAACAAAGATGCCCCTGTCATATGCAGGCCCCGCATTGTTAATCGGTCAATCTCTTGCTAGGGTTCATAAACAGTGAATTTATTGTTACTGTTCACAAATCTAACACAGAATCTACACACAATGTCGTTGGTTTCTTCTCTACCAACATTAGAATCATTTATGAGTTTTAAGCATCATCTGATGTTAACTTTCCTGGCGTTGCACAGATACTTTGCTTGGAGTTAATTTATACTTCACAAGTAAAAAGAGTGCAAGATTTTAAGCAGAAAGTTCGTTCACAAAAAATATAAGCACCGCAAAGTGTTGTGAAGAACTAATACAGGCCAAGATGTAGGTTAACTTTAAAAATCTTACCGTTGAGTTGAAGGAAAATAACCTCGATCAACAAAAGAACAAGTACAGCCATTTCTCACGAAGACAGTTTGCAACCTGTGCCGCTATCGATCTTTCGCAGCAGCCTCATTGAGTGAAACAAATGCTTTTTCAAATAGTCAATGATTTAATTCTTCTGGGACTTAAGGCCACTTACACTGTCAAAGTTAAAAAGACGTCACCGATATTTTTGAAACTGCTAATTAGGGATGCTTATTATACTTGATTTCTTGGCTATGGACACTGCCTTTCGGCAAAAATACGATTTACATGCAACTGAAGAATGGTCTTGATGGTGCCTAAGTTATTGCAAAACATACTGTAATTAGAGCTAGTTCAGTTATTAGACAATTATTCTAGCTCGCCCAGCAGTGTTTCTTGGTCAGGGGACTGGTAATGATCAGTCGTGAACATTCCGGAGCCGCTAGGAGATTGGGCAGAGTACGATTAAACTCAACTGTCCCTCGGGCTAGAGTCGTGACTCGCAAAGCTCGGGTTGTCCCATGAAAAGAAATAAATAGCCATAAAGATCAGGCAATAGTGAACAAAATGGCCCTTTATAACGTGTAAAAGGCGAAAATAAAACTTAAGAGAAGGAGAACAGTTCTAAATCGAGTACTAAAACAAACAGAAAGCAAACAAATTCATTACCAAGAACACAAATGAAACTCGACATCGAGGACCTTTTAAATTTCTTCTTTCATTCCACTGCAATGATTTAGCAAGCTTGAAGAAAATTTTATCAAGCATTTGATCTGTGTTGCTTTTTCATCCTTTCAAAACTGACGGATAAAAATTTTTTCGAAAGCGGCTGATCCAGCTCAAAGTATTTTAGAAGTTACACGGATCTTTCCGTCTTTTAAAGAAAAGTGAAATTTGAATGACACTGATAACGTGAACTTGATTAAAATGCTATATTTTAAATTCTGATGTATCATTTAGCCACATTAAAATGAAGACACAAAATAAAATGTTACTGTACCTTTAGTAGCAACTAAACCAAAGTAAAGGCCGCTTAATACCATCAAAACTCGTCTCATGATTTTGACTTTACGTCAGGAAAAACACGAATTGCCTGCAAGCTTAATTAAGAACTGTCCTTCGCTGAATGAATATTGTTGTCACTTGTAGTCATAATTGCAAATAATTTAGCCAGCTTGCGTCATACAAAGAGAACTGTTTTAATAACTGTCTCTTGCACCTTTTATTTATACAAATACCTGCTTAAACATAACACCACCGACTAAATTTGGTCGTCTCCTTACAACAAACTGCGTCATCCAAATTTGAAAATATTGACGATGTCTCAGGTGATTTTTCCGCCATATTGTCTGCAACAATATATGGAGAAAAGCCAAGAAGGTGGCACGTGAAAGGGAAGACGACAATTTAATAATTAATTTGACTACAAGGCTGACGGTTTGGCGGGAGTTGGCATGCATTACCAGGCATATGTTTAAGGACTGTGGATCTAAAATTAGGCTGCGCCTAATGTTAATTACAAAGATGTTCGTTTAATTTGGCAGGAACTTGACACCACCAGGCATATGATTGAGGGCTGTCAATCCAAGATTAGGTCAAGGTGAGTAGAAAATGAAACAGTCTCTCTCTCTGACATCATGTAAAAAGAGCTACGAAAAAAAAACGACACTTATTTGAACTACAAAAATACCGGTACAAAGTGCAGCACTAAATTTCATGTCATAACACTTCCAAAAGACTCCAAAATCAGAAAATGATTTTGGGTTGAAAAATTGATGTTTTTTTTTTTTCAGGGATTGCTTCGATTCCACACGAGTTTCTGGCACGAGCCTTCCAAGTCGCCGTTTTCTGAAAATTCATGAAATACCAGTGTTTTTCAATGCTCAAGATCCACATGGTAGGTGAAAAGGTTTGGCAACATTTTGTACAAACCCTAGACTCAGGCACCGTTTAAATACGCGAGGCATGTTTTTAAATACAATTTCTTTTTCTTTATTTTTTTCCATTACATTTGTTACTTATTTGCATATTGAGTAACATGTCCGTTTTGGGAATAAAGCAGTTTTGTTTGCCGACCTATAACTAATAATAGGGGTTCGCTGAAAACGGAACAATTGAGCTGAAATGGAAGAATTATTCAAATCATTGTTTTGACTGTCAATTTTCCAGAGTAATAGAGAGATGGCAAACTTCAGAGAAAGACTGAAACCCATTCTAGCCGAGGGTCAATCGAAAATCTCTCATTTTTTGAGGTAGAAAAAATGTTTGGGCAGCTGAAACTGCAAAGCAATATTGCTGACGACAAACTAATTTATGCTCCTGGGACTTTTTGGCTGATATTCAAACTGATAAGGAAAACAAAGCGAATATTTGGTCTGTCACTTTACTCAAATTCATCATCAAAAGGACGTGAAAAATACTCCGCTGCAACTACAGTTCTGGCCCGGGTTGTTAGAAAGGTGGATAATGTTATCCGCCGGATAAATCACTATCCAGCGAATAGCGCGGTTTGTTTTGTAAACGCTTATTCACTGGATAGCAATTTATCCGGTGGATAGTGTTATTCAGCCGGCCTTCCAATAACTGGGGCCTGATTTACCTGGTTGCTATTTTTGGGAAATTGGTTTTGGTTTTAGGCTTTGGGCTTTGAAGTTTCCGCTAACATATTTGGCTAAAAGGTGTAGAGAAAAATTATGCAGTTAAGCTTACATTAACATTGTGGCCTTAATGTTTTTTTGAGTGGCTAAAAAGCTTCAAGGAAGCATTCCCTGTACAACATAGTCAGGAAACATTTTTGCGTCGTTTCTTTATTGGGAAGGCAAAACTTCACATAAGATAAACACAACGACTAGCACTTCTCATATAAAGTCAGTTCTTAGCTTCGTGTCCGCTTTTCGTTGATTCTCTAAACGTGATAGGGGTAATAAGGAGCAACTTAGCTGATACGACAGACGAAAATATAAATATATCGATATAAGTCCAAGATATTTGACTGGTTTGCAGGGTAGAACTATAGGCTAAAAAGTGTTCAGAGACAAAAAACAAACAAACAAACAAACAAACAAACAAACAAACAAACAAACAAAAAATATTGAACAACTGACCAAAATAACTCAGTTTTATATTAGATGAAATGAAAAATTGTGGAAGTGCTGCTCTCACCTTATCGGCGACTTTATCAGTCATATAAAGTCGCGAGGAAAGGAGAGAAAAATATATATAAAATATGGTAAAATAATGGGTTGCAAAGTTTCCCTTTCGTAGTGCATCGTTAAATAATTGAGGAATCCGGAAACGGCACGATAGCATAGACTTGTACCAATTTTCTAAATAGCTATCTCTTTAGTGCAGTTTTCAACTGAGTGTCGTAAAACCAAAACCAAAGTAATCACTCTAGCCAATCACAAAGGGCACAGACAATACGTTGAACCAATCAAAACTCGAAGTCATTACATGTAGCTGACGCATAGCGCGGGAAATCGAGTGGGAGTGAGTCACAAATGGTTTTGGTTTTACTTCTGATTGGTTGAAACAGTGGCGCGAGTTTTGTTAAGAAAATCGTGAAGCGTAGTTGATGCAAAAACAAATTACTTTTCGACATTCAAATGAAAACCGCTCTAATAAAGCAGCACCAGTAGTTTTGTTTATATTGCTAGCTATATAATATTAAAATAATTCAGCCACGGCAACACTTGCTGTTCTTTTCTAGGTTTTTCTAGGATGTGGCGAAGCATTTCATTCTTGCTCAATATATTAAATATCGTCACCTGAAACAAGCCAACACAAGCAGAAAAGAACACATAAACACGTCCCCTCTAAAAGCCGGGATTTTTTTTGTATGTATTGGTCTGTCAATGAGTCATTATTTTACAAACAGATCAACAACTTACAAATTGAAAGAATAAGAAATAATTAAAACTGGGATCAAAATTTGACAAAAAATAAAACATTCAAGAAAAGACGAACGTTTTCACATAGAGGGCTTTTTAACAAATGATAACTGGTTCAAAATGCTTAAAGGTAGGCTAATTGTTAAAAGTGTTTTCGTGGTTAAGCCTTTTAAGATTTCCCCATTCTTCGATACTGAATAACACGAGTTTTTCAACGTCTGAACCCGGGAACCGTCAGATAGCTTGGTTGTTGAGTGCTGTTCATTTAAGAAGGATCAATAAAAACTGTCAGTTATTGTAAGAGAACTGATTTGTTGCTATTGTCAGCAGATGTGAACTAGAAAAACTATATTTTTCTTTTGTCCATGGAGCAGGTATTCAATAATTGCACGTGACACTTTTAATGAAAAAGAAGGCATCTTGTGGATTTTCATGTTACAGGTACCGTGACCACCAGACTTTGCAGTCATCACAAATAGATTAAATCGCTTCTACATATTACAGGAACTCGAACGAGAATTAAATTTGAAAACGCAGCTTTCTTTCTACAGTTAAGCCTATCGTCCGCACTTGAGTCCGTTCCGAAAACGGAGTTTTTTAACGCCGCTTCAAACCAGAGGAATTTGAAAACGCCGGCTTTTCGTTTTCGTGTGGACAAAAACGTTTTGAAAACGGAGCTTTTCGAAAACGATGCCGTCACGATTATAATGTGATTTCCCTGAACGAGGAGTTTCCTCAAACACAAATCCAAAATGACCGGCGGCAATTGTTGTGTTTTTAAATTCCTCCGACCTATTGTGGACGGGGCCTAAATTTCTGACTGGCTTTAGTGAGAAACAGTAGGATCGTACACATGCAGCTAGTAACAGGCAAACCATGGCACTTGCTTCAGTCATGTTTTTTTCGTTTTTGTTGTTTATAGTCATTGGAAACACCCTTAATACCTAGGACGAGAATTTCACCATGGACATCAGTCATAATTTTTCCATGGACATTGATATTGCCTTAGTCACAACTTTTTGCTGGCTCCTGTCCTGAACAGGGAATTGGTTTACCACGTGAAACAAAATTTAGCAGCTCGTGAATATACAATTTTAATTGCCTATATCACGAAGTGTATTAACGAAGCAGCAGTCCTGTGTATGAGTTATTAAAAAAAATTAAAAAAAAAAAAATGACGAGAAAACGATGTGGAAGAGAGTATAAATTAATGGTTTTAGACTGCAGCAGGGGCAAAAAGTAATTTCTTGGTCTGGTACACTAAACTGAAGAAAGGTCTCTACGCTTTAATTACACGCCCACTCAGTTTTTCAATGAACAGTCACATCATTACTCGGGAGGAACTCGCCAGCGTTTGTCTACTTCGTCGCGGATTGACAACATAATTAAGATTTTTGTAGAAACGATGGCTGGTTGCTTACAAGACCAGAATGTTTTTTACACTTGATTACAAGAGTTATGATTAGTGATGGAGAACAAATCAAATTAGAGACCCTTTTAATTTTAACTCTATGCTTTACAAAAAGCAAATATGGCTTGCTAAGAAACGTAAACTATATGACTCGTCAACTTACACTACATTTTGGTTTGCAGCATTCTGAAACTACGTTCACTAAAATACATTTTTGGCGGTATTTATAGACCTTTTCTTGTTCTCAAACGATTCAATTTTCCTCAATAGTTTTTTATTCTCGTAATTTTTCCACAATTGAAGCCCAATTTTTTTCTCGACTACATGGGTAATTGTCTTTAGATAAGCAACACTGAACGAGGTTTTAAGCACAATATAACTATTAAAACGTTAAGTGGCACTTACAGCCTCATTCAAGAAACTAATTAGGAAAAAGTCATTCGCCTGAGGCAACATATGATGTCCGTAAAAACACGTAATTGGTCATTATTAAAAAAAAAATCACGACTGTACATCATGTTATTCTCAAAATATCAGTAAATTGAAATGAGTTAGTATGTGCGAAATACTGTTACCATTGTAATGGAACCAAGTTCGAATTTTGCTTGAACTTTTTGTATGGGGTGTTTCAACAAAGTGCTATTTTCGTTTTTTTTTTTTCACCTGGGAGGGAATATAATTTTGGTGTGATATGGTGCTTATTCAAGTCTTTCTGATCAACATGCGGGTTCTCATGTCAATACGGGGGCAGATGTGGCTGGTATCTTAACCATTGATCTCAGTGGTGTTATAATTACAGAGCTAAATAGCTTGATCACTTGTCTTTGTCACGTCATATTCTCGATTAATAGCTCAAGGTGGATTTGCCGACATGAAATAACGATGCGTAATTACCTTTTTATTTCCCTACTTCACAGTCATTACCGGTTTAGTTTATCGTTCTGATCTTCAACTCTACAATAAATCGAGTCGTTGATCTTTCTTTGGACTCAGTAACTTCAACACACCCGAGAGATGGATCTCGAGCAAACTGGTCTTCGAGGTTATGTTTTTGTTCCATACTGCACCGAAGAGTGCTGTCAGAGCCAACTACAAGCTTTTCAGGCGGCTGTTCCTTCTTCGTACCCAACTTCTGCTTCAAAGTGTAACCCTTTTTTGCCGGAGCAGATAAGTTCAAGTAGCCTAGCTACGCACTCTTCACGATTTACATCGCTCAAGACTGGTGCCTACCGCGTGCTTTTTCCCGCCATTTCAAGAGAACTACCGAAGCCGTCTGAAGTTTCCCGCCATAAAGTCGGTGTAAAAAGTTTGCTGTCTACATTTCAACCAATTCAAGGTAGTAGTTTTCGCTTTTTACTCCATATATATTGTTACCTGTAGGCTTGGCGTCGTGGCTCATCATTAGTACCTTATCTGTACTCCTTTCTCGACGGAGGGAGTTGTTTGTCATCTCCAAGGAATGTTCCCTTACTGCTCAGTCACTTGATCACATCGTCGACGAATTTTTATTTGGGGGGGGGATTAATAGCTGATTAGGCATCATCGGAATATGGGATATCTGGGGGAAGATTATAGGGATACGGGACTCAGTATTGCGGTAAACTAATTAGAGCAATACAGGATAGGAGGAGATAATCTTAGGTTTTCACTGATCGATACAAGATGTAGAAGAAAGAAAGATCGGAGACTCGAAAGATTTTAATTGTCTGGAAATTTAAAACTCGGCTCTTACAGCTTTAGGCCCCGTTCACACTACGCCGTAGAAATTTGAAAACGCAGCTTTATTTCTACGGTCAGGCCTACCGTCCACACTAGTCTGTCACGAAAACAGAGCTTTTCGAAAACGTTCTTCAAACCGGAGCAATTTGAAAACGCCAGCTTTGCGTTTTCGTGTGGACGGAAAACATTTTGAACGGAGCTTTTCGAAAATGCTCTCCTATAACCGGAGGAATTTGTAAACGCCGGCTTTGCGTTTTCGTGTGGACGGAAAACATTTTGAAAACGGAGCTTCGCGAGAACGATGACATCACGATAATCACGTGATTTCTCTGCCCGAGGTTTCCTCAAACACAAATCTAAAATGACCGTAATTGCTGCGTTTTTAAATCTCTCTGGCGTTGTTGGACGGAAAACCTTTGAAACAATTTCAGAGTGAAAACGCCGTTTTCAAATTTCTCCAGCCTAGTTTGGACAGGGCCTTAGAGTGTTCAGAACGGTAAAATTTTCGATTTGCTGTCTAACTGATTTTTCGAGAGAGCACACTTTCAGTTGTTTCCACAGACGCATTACAAATATGTACTTGGTTTCTTTTAGAAAGTTTCCTGCAGACCAACGAGAGAGACTGGAAGATGGAAGTAAATTGCAGGTCGAAACGGAAGCGTACAATCTTCACGGCAGATCAGCTCGAACGACTGGAAAAAGAGTTTGACCGTCAACAGTATATTGTTGGCACACAAAGGTTCTATCTCGCGGCTGACCTGGGCCTCAATGAAACACAAGTTAAAATCTGGTTCCAGAATCGCAGAATCAAATGGAGAAGACAGAACTTGGCTCTTCGTCAAAGTCCAGTGAGAAGTAGATTCGAAAGCGAGGAAAATGACTAAACTGGAATTCTTCACATGCGGCGCTGTAGAACACGTGTACAAACTACCCTGTAAACTATCAGGGCAAACTTGGAACGGACCTGTTTTTGTGCGTATAGAAAGGGTTCCTTGAGTAATTTTAACCGCAATATGACGCAAAAACGTCATGTTGCTATTAGTCAACCCCCCAGTCACCCCAAAGTGGCCTTTTGGACAGTAACACTGTAATATAGCAATGGCATCGCAAAGCATTCGCTTTATCTGGCAGCTAGTTTCTCTTTGCTCCCAACATAATCTATCGTGAAAAGGTTTTTAACTTAGTGAGGTATGTTGCGCCTCGTGAACTTAAACATATGAAAAGCTTTCACAACTATTACCAGTACCACAAGATACACCCAACCTTTTCCCACGCCAATTTCAAGTCTACGTCGGCGCTTTTTACAGGCTCTCGTATTATACAGGATCACGCGGAGCTTGGGAAAGTGTTTGGGGGCGGGGGGGGGNCGGCGAAGCAGACCTGCAATAAACTACTGTGTATCTGTAGGAATTTTGTATAAAGGCTTGTAGCAAGAACAACCCATTACATTTTTCAACGTTGAAGCTGTGCAATTTATTACGGGAAGCAAATATCGTTCTAGTGAATGTAAATAATTGTAATAGTAGTTGTATCTAAGATGCAATCTTTGTTGTGGTCCGCTGGTTTCTGGAAAAAGAAAACAATCATGTTATAAAATAAGCTAACATATCAGTTCTCATATATCATAAGTATAACAGTCAGTTCAACAGTAACGAAGTTCAACTCCGATTACTGTAGCAATATATGGCGAAGGGCATTGTCCGCCCTGGATAGGATGGTAGTCCATCGAAGGCAAGCCCCCCATCCCTCTTCCCCCGCCACCCGCATTCTAAACTTTCACCATTATTTATCTATTCTCTCGGGTAGAGCCTAAAGGAACTGATGCCAAGTACTCTTTTTTGTGGGAAGAAACGCAATTCAGTTCCAATGTGAACATAAAGATACAAAAAACTGTACTGTTCTTAAATAAATCCCAGCCTTGGGCATATCCCATAGTCTATTCCAAAAACTTCGCCAATCTCAGCCTCAATACGGAATCGTACATAAAAAAAAGTATTCTTACAAAATAACAAGTGTCCATAAGCCCAGGAATTGTAATCGAAATTTTAACTTCGTTTTACCATAAAGTATAACTTCCATCCCAGTTGCCTCCTTGCTTCGTTCTTTTTCTCACCTCAGAGTTGTTACAGGTCGGACGCCTGCAGAGTTTCTACTCGCTAAGCCATCTCCTCGAAGTTTAGCTGCTTTTTCTCTTGTTTGCTCAAGTTCTTTCCATCTCATTTTCTCTAGAGCAGCCTGAAAAAAATTCAACGTCATTGTTAAACTTTACAACCCGTATACTCCACTAGTCTGTCCACAGGCGCATCCTGTTTTCTCATTACCCTACCCTCTTGTATCGCGCCCAAAAGACAAAGACAAAGGAATTGTGGAAATTAATGAACCACTTTGTGCTCACAATTTCACGGACTTAATTAGAGAGTAGTTACATGCAAGAATTCTCACTTTGTGAAAAGCATAAAAACAACCCTCAGATTCGAAAGCGAGGAAAATGACAATTTCAC